CCATCATCCTCAACAGGAATGAAAAGTAGTAAAGAGTGCAGACCTGAGTTGAAATGGCACAGTCATCAACTTAGCACCAGCAGAAGGATAGCTGTAGGCCTCAGGCTGCAGGACTGGGAGGTGTAGGTAGGCCTCAGGGCTTGAAGCGCGTGTCGAGGCGTGAGTCATTTAGAGGAGGGGCCAAAATTGATGACGTCCGAGGCCTCGCTACCGTGAAACCACGTGACCGCTTCGTGAAGTGGTTCGGGAAGAAGAATTTTGACAAACATCTAAACAGCCTCAGTGTTCAGTCAAGATGATGGAGTTTGGAGGAGAGCTGCTGTCAGCTGGATAAAGTTTGGATAGATTCTAAGAATAGATCGGTTGGAAAAACAACCAATCTAGTTGGTTAAAACTAATCTGGTCAGAATAAACAATGAAATTATTAAAATCTAAGGAAACCACCGGAAAAAATCGGTGTTAACACGTCACTTTTAATTAGTATTTTCCTTCCTAAAACAGCTATCCATATAGGTGGCCTCATCTATAAGAGGCAGGCTGTCACTCTAGAGGTTGATGGTTCAACACCTGTCTTTGACTTTTGAAAGTTACAATTAAACTTAATTATTTTGGCTGATGAGACTAATTTGCATTGTTTTGCCTGAGTAAAAATATAGATTGGGTAAATTAGGTCGGTTTAGCCAAAAGATTGGTTGAACACAACTTCCAACCTGTTTAAAACCAAAAAAACCTGGAAAAACTATCATGTTTGAATATAAAGACTAACACCTTTCATTTTGCTCATCGTTGCCCAATTTACACAAACACTGTCACTGTCTGCTTGAGTTTATTTCACTAAAATGGCAGAAAAACGGTGCACCTTAAATGATTGTTCTAAGAAATGTTACACTTAAAAAAAATTACAAAAGATTTTATTATACACACCAACCATTAATAATTTCGAAGGAACCTAAAAGGGGAAAGAAAGAACAGTTGCAAAAAATAAAAAAATCACTGATTTTATTACAAACTGTAGTTCTGCTGTCCACCAGTAGGTGGTGACATGTTCACACGAAGCCTCATGAACTGTGGGGATCGTTGAAGCAATTTGGCCAAACGGTTCAATGAGGCTTCATCTCACCATTGCTACTTTTTATGCTTAAAAGAGTGAGTAAAACTGTCTAATGATAGCAAATAAAACAATAAAATCCCTAAAACAGACAGACTTTGGACAAAGACACCATGCATGCTGCCATCTTGGATTTCACTTTACTTATCCTCTGAGCTCCAGCCTAAAGGAACAAGACAATTTACATTTAAAATAAGAAATATTTACTTATTTACTTTTTTACACTGCAAAAATGATCTAGAAATAACCAAAGAAATCTTAAATTAAGTGTATTTTCCCTTAATTTGAGCAGGAAACTAAGATGATTTGCCAATAGAATAATTGTTTTTACTCCTAAAATAAGATGATTAGATAATAAGCAGTTGAACTAAGAGAATGCAATTTTTTGTTCCTATTTTAAATTTAAATTGTCGTATTCCATTGGGAAAATATCTCCCTTACCTCCTAAATGCACTTATTTGAAGAAACAGTGACTTATATTAAGAATTAAATTTTTGGAGTTTTTAAGTTTATTCTTTGTGTTTTTCTGATTCAAACCTTCACATAGTGTGGAACAGAGAGTGTCTGTCCTCCAGGGGCGTCTGGTGGACTGAAGGCCTGTGTTTTTGTCCAGCGTGTCTCGCTACAGGGAGTGTCCACCCAAGCGGGTGTTTTTGTGGTGGTTATGTGTGAAATGTCAGCGCGCCTCCACCTCGCTGCGGAAACACTGAGTCCCCTCTTCTGCTGCGCTCTCGTGCTCTCAGCTGTTTGCGTGGAGGTTCAGGAATTTGAAGGAAATAGCTGCAGCCGCTGGCCAGATCGTCTGCTCTCCACATCGCCGCCGTGCATCCTCTCTGCAGGCAGGAATGTGTGCAGGAAGAGCCTCTGGAACAAGCTGTGCTGAGATGATGTGCTGTGAAGACAAAGACTCTGTGTCCAGCCTAGAAATAAATAAAGACTGTGGATTACTGTGAATGTGGGAGAGGCTGGTGTCCCAAAAAAGTCTGGAACTGTTTGGCATTCAGTCGAGAATTTAAACACTAAACACACTCCGAAGCAAAGGCAATAGTATTAACATTATCATGGCAGAAGGGCCTAGTCAAAGTCCAGAACCAAATCCATTTAGCAGGATGTTTGGAACCAGGTTTAAAGTCGAAGGAAAATCATATTTATATGTCAAATCATTCTGGCTTAAACATGTATATAAATGTATATAAATCCTGCGGTAAAATCTGTATGTTTTCTTGCATGTTTCCTCTGTCCATAGCGTTCCTTGACAGCGTCGTTTCTAAGTCACCAATTTAGTGCTACTTGGTCCCAATGGAATTTCCCATTGGGAACCTGCTAGCACTAAGACTTGCTTGTGAACCTTCCGCCACAACAATCCCGCCCCCTTGATAAACGACCAATCACATTCACT